TTATAAGTCCAAATATAACAGTAAAAATATTAAGCTGCATATAGTAAAACAATGTCTTTGGTTGTATTTGATATATAAAAATTTTACAAAACTGTTTTGTAATACAGATTTCTGTCAGACTTTAAATTTAAATCGCTCTAATAAAAAAAAAAAAAAGCAGCGAAAAAAGATAATGAAAAAAGCAATACTGTGAAACTCCTCTTTTCGGAATCTGTTAATAACGCTACCGTTCATATTTATCGGTGGAGTACCTATATTAATTGTAAAACTATAGGTATCTATACAATAGTAATATCAGTCAAGAGACACTTATAAATAAAAGTTATGCTTGCATATCAGAAATATAGTATAGTTATAATTATACGCAAGTTAACAAGTATAAAAAACTAAAACCACAGGATATTATTTGTGACTTTGCTGTGTATCTCGGGAAGATCGCCAGATCCGGATTAAAGTGTAAATGAAGTTATTTAAATTAAAAATTAAATAAATAAAATAAAAAAGTTAGAAAGGAACTGGTTTAACCTACTTGAATCTCAAAGGGATTTGGGCAAGGGAGAATCTCAATTTACTATGTAATATAGTAAAGGGATTGAAAAAGACAAAAATTGAAATATTTCAATATGTGTTGTAAATTCGGAAGATACCTACAATCTTTATAAAAACGTGAAAGTTTAAACCAAGAGATCTCGCGCGGTGCTATTGCTATAGAAGGTTGTAAAGTTAGGAAAGATATACTTCAAGGGTCAATTCTCCTACATCATTGAGGCTACTATAATTGTAATTATGTAAGGGGGTTATAACGGATGTGGATGAGCATGCGAACCTTAGTGAGATTAAGATACGGATATTGCGTTTTTCTTCGAAAATACTTAATAGAATTGTTAGCATTAATAGCGAATTTAATATCTGTCTTTTTTACATCAGCATTGCTACTACTTGATCCGTTATCGTCAAATATTGTAAACTTTGCTACTGTATTTTAAAGTCAGTCTGAATTTTCTTTACATAAATAATACTTCCGATCCAATGGGGCTTGAACCTTGATGAAACTCTTGTACAAACTAGAGTAGGTGGATCGGCTTGCGAGTTTCGATAATTTAGGGAGCCGGACCATAGGTTCAACCATAATGGAGGGGGGGGTTCTTAAAGAGGAACCAGACTAAGACAAGCCCCTGAAAGAGAGCAGCAGCTCTTTCAGTACAAGGGTCGGTATGGCACTATGCGATGTGGAAGGCATCGGGAAACCATCACATTATGATCCCGAGAAGAGGTATTATAAAGAATAGGAGAACAGAGGTCTCTATGGAAGTCAATAAAAAACGGGTGAGATAGGTTGGTAGGATACCTTCTCAGGCATGAAGGTCTGGTCAGAGACATATTAGAGGCAGAAAATGGAGCTAGGAGGGGTAGAGGTAGACCTAGGTTAGATTACTGTTCGCAAATAGTTAAGGATGTGGGCTGTTCCAGTTTCAGGGAACTGCGAAGATTCGCTCAGGATAGGAAGAAGTGGAGGTACATGTGCAACCAGTCTTAGGACTGACGACCTTATGATGATGATGATGTAATAATACTTACCTTTCATTGTAATGCTTAATAACGAGATTAAATTTAGATACATTTTAGCAGTAGTAAAAAAATATCACCCAATTTTTATGAAAACTGACCTAAACTGACCGCTCAAGCTCTTCGACAAAACGTATTATTAAACTGCATTTATTGTACTTATAGTACATTACTTTATTATTTATGTATGGATATGAAAAGATGGTTGAAGATATTTGTGCGAATTTTTCTACAGTAGGTGCGTTATATTTTCCAAAAGTTAATGTATGTACAATATCCCTATGTTGGGTTCTCAACCCGCCACTGGTGTACGAGATAAATGTCTTGACGACATGTTCACAATTTAAACTATACATAGCACTTTTTGTTTATGTGTCAGAAGCATAAAGGTTGGAACTCTCTAAATTTGCATGAAATTTTGAGTAAAAAATGAAATTAAGTGCTCTAAAGCACTTGAAATGTACACAGTGGGTGTACTCTGACTCCAAGAAGGTTGAGATCGATAAGGTGGTAGTGACAAAGCCCTGGACGCCCCAGAACGTCAACAACTGATGAAAACGTTGAAGAAATGAAGAAAATAGTATTGGGGAATCGTAGAATCACCATTACAGGAATTGTTGATGATGGTATGGTTAGTCAAGCAATTGTAAGAGATATTCGGGGCATGAAACGTGTATCAGCGAAGTTTGCTCCAAAACTGCTTAATTTTGACCAGAAGAACCATCGCATGGAGCCGTTAGGAGCTGCTAAATAACGATCCTGATTTACTCAAAGGGTCGTAACTGGTGACAAATCATGGATATATGTATATAATTATATGTTCGAAACTAAAGCCTAGAAAAACTGAAAAAAAAAACCCGCCAAGTTCGATCAAATATCAAGGTTTTGCTTATTGTTTTCATCGCTTATAATGGCGCACGGTTAATAAGGAGCATTACCTTCAAGTTATGCGTCGTTTGAATGAAGCAATACAAAAAAAACACCAGCAATTGTAAAAAACAGTTAATGGATTTTGCATAACGATAATGTACCTGGCTAGAAACAACGCCACAATCATGCCTCAGCCACCATACTTACCGGATTTGGTTCTCTGCGACTTTTTCCTGTTCTCAAAATTAAAAAGATCTATGATATGCAACGATTGAGGAGACAAAGACTGCATCCATGGAAATACCTTCTACCCTTCTCAATAGTACTCTTTTCATGGTTCTTAAATTTTACTTTTCCTTTATGTACTTTTAACATAGCTTTGCGTTCAAACTCGTCTATTTTTTTTAAATTCTTTACAAATCGTGTTCGAACCTATCCTATTCTGTACTCTTTCTTAGTTGGTATTATTCGAAACTTCCTCCGTGAATGCGCCCCTACTCACTTTTCTGCAACCTCGTTATAAACCCTTAAAACCAAAATTAAAAAGACCAGAACAGATCAAAACGAACAATCAGTTATGTCACCGTCATTCTTCAACCTCAACTATCAACTTTTTCCTTAATATTACTGTACATGGGGAATAAAGACTGTATACTATACGCATTTGATTTTTTGTTATTGTGTCGTGCCAAATATATCTCTAACCGACCAAAAAAGAAATGTTTTGATGAAAATAGTCATATTATTTTTTGACTACACCGTGTATATTTAAATTTCGTATTTGTACAATTCTCCTTGGAATTTCCGTTTATAAAATGCGTCCTCAATAATAATTGTGGTGTGACTACGGTAATTAATCGTTGTACTTCCCCAATATTTGAAATTTAAAATTGTTATATATGTATGTTGAATTCCTATTTTTCACCTGTATCCTTTACCTATTTCCTACTATTGCTCAACAATTCTTTTAAAACGGGTTTTAACTGAAAGTTTTTGAAGTCCATCGTACTTAGGATTGTTGCGGTAATACCTACATCAGGGTACACATTCTGCGCTTTTAATATTTCTTGCTTTAACTACAATATTTTTTAACATTAAACGAATTAAACGTCTATAATCGAAAAATACATAGATACCAAACTCTTTTTCTTGACGAATATTTAATAATTTTGATTTAATTACTTTAAAACTAATAAAATGACTATTTGGCGTGAAATAACGAGCAGTATTTTCTCAGAATGTTAGTTTTAACGGAGCGAATGAAACTCGATATAAAACACTATATGCAGACTTTATTTACAAATGAATTATTAACTACGAAATAACGGAAAAAACGCAAATCAACAAAAAAAAAGGACAAAACGTAAATTAACTCTAAATTATTTGACAAAATCAAAAATTGTTCTGATGCCACCACCACTACCTGGTATGCAACAAAAGAATACGAGCCAGAAGTCAATAAGGGGAAAAACCCAACAAGGCATGACTTTCTCGAGCTATGAAATTCCTGTAACCTGCATGCAATTGAAGAGCATCGATAATAAAATTAACCAAGGTAGATGCTTTTAAGAATCTGACGATTGGGACCAAATCGGCCTATTGTTTGCAAAAGAACATTCAAGAGATATTTGACTACCTTGCATACATTTGAAATTATGGAAATTTCCAATATAATAAAATAAAATAGGTTGAATAATGATAAGCAAATCTATCTCTAACGACTAAAAAAAGTATTAAAATTGAAACAGTATATAAATAGCCAGTTGCAAATACAAGGTGCTTCAAACAGAATATATCCCGTTTTCTAAAAAAAATTTTGTAAATAAGTATTTCTAATAGTAACTTAAAAATTCTACTATGGCATTCCGCTTTATTTTGTTTTTATTTATATTTTTTCTATATTTCCGGATAGTCTTTTTTAAAACTTGTAGAGCACACATCGCAAACAGTTTTCAATTTAAATAAATAATATTTCGTAACTTGAAAACCGAAAAGTTTTACATGAAACCGCGAATTAATTTTTTTAGAGCTATTCAAAGATACTCCCATATGCATAAGCAATTAATAACAAAACAAAATTCAGAGGAATGGATTTGACGCTTTAATCCTACCTTGTGTAATGATTAGTAGTAAGCAGTGATAGTATGTAGTATACAGTAGTAAGAAATGACGTCAACGATATCTCGTTCAAACTGTTTGTTTTCATCAAAATGCAGTCGGTGCACAGGTCCTACCCCAACCCAACTCGTTCACGCTTAGTAGACGTATATCGTAAAACAACATGCTGTTTTATTTAAAAAAGAATTTCCTTTTTATATTTACGTCACTTTGATATCTACATGTTCATTTTTAAAAGATGCGTAAATTATGCCTATAAATAGGTGGGTACTTAAATATATATAAAATTCGGTACTTACCTTCTGTTTACCCTCTTCATCACTAATTTTTTGATAAATACATTTTGTCAGCTTGTCACGATATTCGCACATGCTTAAATCATCTTTGCCATTAAAATTATCAAAACAATCCGTGAATGTATAAGTATAAATAATGCAACTGTCCAATACATGTAATTTTTTATTTTCAATTTAAAATATGTAATAAACAAATTATTTAAATTTACTTACACTATATACAAACTCTTAAAACAGAGTTATAGTCAATACGTATATACACGCTTAAATATAATATGAAACAACATGGCACTGTTATTCGTTTCATTTTGTATGAAAGGCCTTTAGGAACCAAATTAAAAAACGAACCTTTTTGTAGAAAAAACAGTGCCATATAAAAATGCCGAAGTAAAAATTACCCTTCGCTTTTTATTTGATTAACTCAACTAAAAAGCTGGGCATGTATGTATACATGAAATAAAAAAGGTATAAATATAGGTAGTTTTTCTTTTATATCTCACTATCACATTGATCTAAGGTATATTATACTGATACCATAAAAAAATAAAAAAAGAAACTCATCATTGAGGCGCGACATTCCAAAATGTAATAAAATCACATTTTTTAAAAATCAAAAAGTTAATGGATCGGACAAATTGATACAGAAACGTAAGTACTTATAATGAAAGGACGAATAATTATTGAACATCGTTGCAAAAGAGAGATCACGTCGCATTTCTGAAAGTCTCCGGAAATTTCCTACACTTAATCTACATAAACTATTTTTGTACACAACCTTGGCAGACAAAAAACTTTTCCAATAATTGAAAACTTTAAAAACCTCTGTGACGATGAGACTGGCAGCTATGGCAGTATGTATATCCAACATTCCCACACTAGTTCATTACCATTACAACTTTTTAAACAGTCATTGCTAGAAATGGTCTTTGTTGTAAGGCATCGTCCGTGTCTTTGGCTTGTGCCGAACACAAATCCGGAGTGGACATGGATCGGCTCAATTTGCCACTTTCACTCATACCGAAACTAAATATTGACACTAAAGATGTTATCCGATCAATTTCCATCGACGAGCCGCTAGAGTTAGAATCGATAGTATCTTGAACTCTTTCATTTTGAATATCCTTCGAAACTGATTCTGAAAGAACAGTTGCGTCACCCAAAAACACAGAATCTTCGCCGTCACTATCATCTTCAGATCGACTTCGTTTAGGCAAAATACTCTGCACCGCTTCCTCGGTTTCCCACTCGGCAATCGCGCGTCTTCTTTTTAAACCAACACTATTACTACGCTCCCTTAACACATTGGAACTTTTGTCTAAATCGAGGTAAGTAAGTTCACTGGATGAGTGATATGGAGGGGGTTGATTTTCCTTGTCTTGCGTTTCACTACACTTAACGCACGGCTGCAGAAAGTCCGGCAACGAAGTTTCACTTGTTGACGCTTCTTCTACATCCTCCGATAATGAAATAGGGTCGATGCCAGCTTCTTCGGCGGTAAGACCAACTAAATCTTCCGACTGTTGCATCCTTGGAGCAATAGAGACTGGCGCTGGAGATTGATAATGGACCATGTTGTACGCTTCCTCCATAAATACATAACGTGCTTTCTGCAGTACAGTAGCTACCAACAAGTTTTTATGAAGGCTGACGCCACCACGATTGGCGCGTGATTGTGCGATTTTTGTTAACGATATTCCGATTAATCTTTGAGCTTCAGTGGCCATTTTCAACAAACACTTTACTATTATTCGATTGACTAACACTTAATTATTAAATTAACACTTACACTGAACTATTGAGTTTGAATTTATTTCACGTATTACACCTACCTACTCAGCATCAACCACTCCACACTTTCAACTATAATGCAACGTAGTGCGTGGTTACATATACTTATAGCTTTATTTTGTGACGTCACAACCTACTTTCAACGTGTCTCAAACCAATCAGCACGCGGCCTTGCCGAGAACTGCTGCGCTTGAGCAATGATGTTGGAAACAAGTAAAATGGCTAGATTGTTTATTATCTTTAATATGAAAAATTAAAGAACAAATACAGTCGTATTTTCCATAATTCACATCTTTATTTTGTTTCTCGTTTTAATAATATGGTAGATTAATCAATGCAAATCTATTACCTGACAACTGTTAAGCGTATTTTGAAAATTTTCTTTATTCATTCTCTTTCAGAATACCTATTTTTATTAAATTAAAAACAAACATTATTATTTTTAATTTATTTGGCATGTAATATGGTCAATTAAATTACAACGGCGACATTCTTTAATGTTTGTTATATAATAAAGTCATTTGTTAGAAAATAAAAATTATTTATTAATCTACATACGAACAAGAAATTCAATAACTTGTATTTTTTTTTTAAACAGGAAGCTAGACACTTTATTTTTCATTATGCATTTTACAGAAAATAGGTTAATTAGTGACGTGTTACAGAATGGATGGTTATAATCCTATATTGTAAACCAATTTAAAGAGAATTTTCTATTACTTATTCTAGAGAATTTCTGGCCGCTTCAAGAAAACGCACTCTAGCCATGATATTTTGCAAATCATCAATGAAAGCTACTGACGCGCTGCTCTCGGTTCATTCGTTAAACTGTAGTGGGCGATACGAGATAATCCTTTAGAGCTCATTATTCTAGTATAAACACTGCATAGTGGACTTTATTAGCATAATCAGTAGTGTTTAGCTGTAACGGAAGTTGATGTCACAAAAAATACCTATTGCGTACGCAAACATTGGATATTTCTTTGTTTGGATGAATTCACTGCCTTATGATGAAATTAAAATTCTCAAATTGTTCATGTTTGGGTATGTTGAAACATTTTAGAAGTAATAGAACTACAATACATGTAAAATTGCTATCTTCACATTTTTTATAAATAAATATTTTTGATATATTTTTATACAGTACACATAAATACTTCCATCAGTTACTAGGAAAATAAAATGTTACTGAATAGGTAGTCCTTTAAATATTTTTATAATGTTAGTACAAAAAGTAGATATAAATGAAAAAGGAAATGATATAAAAATTTATTTGTAAA